ACAGATCACTTATGTCTTTTTTTGAGAAACAAAATTTATGACTTTTCACTTAAATAGGGACAAAAGTCAGGAAATGTTATAAATCAATGATTTAGATAATAGAGAACAATTGTGGGTAGTTTTTTTATAGTTATTAATTTAAAAATTTTAATGTTTCCTAGTGAGAGACATTTGACTTATATCCCTGCCTCCTCCTTTAGGGGCCCATCTTTAATTGGATGCACTCCTAGATTTTTATTCACAAGTTATTTATACAATTCACTCAAGAACAATTATTATAATACTAAATCATATTGTACAAAATGCATGTCTATTAGCCATATATAGTATATACTTGAAAATAAGAGAATCTATCAGATTTTATTATTTGACTATTATGTAATAAATTAGATTATACAACTTCTGTTAGTTTTAGCATCAGGAAATAAAGCCACAATATTTTAATATCCAAAATATATAAAGATCTAAAAATTCTAGAAAATATAATAATTGACTCAAAATTCTATCTGTATTATGTAAAATCTATCTTTTCTCAAAAACTTCAGTTTATAGGAGATCTGGAAGACTTTAGTCATATGTATTAGCTACAAAATATAAGAGCCAGATATATATTAAGAGATCTATAATTACTATTACTAATAATTATCCGAGATTAAATCTTACAAATGGATAATAAGGAGTGATAAAGTTGAATAGTTATAATATAAACTTGAAGGAACTAATACATTTGGAATAGATTAAAAGACTTTATTTAACAAAAGAAAGTTCTACAAGACCATATTTGAAAAGTGGTTAAAATATTTACTGGAAGATTTCAGTTATCAATCTGACTTATCAATGATTGCTAGAGATTTACTTAAAACTATATGAAGATTGAAGATATTAATGAACAATCAGTTTTCAAGAACTAAATATAGTATAAATATCAATTAAAATTCAAATACACCCATGCAAAACAGTCTTTTATGAAGCAAACATACCTCAAAATAGTTTCTTGAATCAAAATAGAAGTTCTTAGTAAATCCTAAAAATACCAGGTGCCTAGAAATAGTAAGGCAACTGACAAAATAATATTTTAAATATATAAAATCAGATAAATTGAATAGAGTAGAATAGTATAATTTAGAAAATATAAAAATTGATCTAGTAGAATTTATTCTATATATTACATAATCTGATTAATAATATTCAATTAGTATAATTAGTTATATACAAACTAGTTTAATAAAAAAGAGCATATAATACTCTTTTAATTTTTCTTAAAACAATTTTTAGAAGTAATTTAGTTATAAAACTATTGTAATTTACTATTTTATATTATATAATTTAAGTATTTTGAAGTAATCTATGAATTTTTTCTTCTATCAAGGTTTATTGATAAATTTTTCTAATGATTACTCTTTCCACTGATCAATTCTATCATTAATTTCAAAGCAATATTCATTAGAAGTTTTACACTTTTGTGCTAATAAAGTTGCTATACTTTTATTAAATACACTTTACAAATATACTACAAAACAACTTCCATCCAGTTTTATTTTTTCTTTATTTCTTTGGTTGACTTGAGTATCAGTTTCAAGTCAAAAGTGAATGAGGTGAAACCTGGATTCCTAATGGTAAAAAAGGATACTTAGGAAGAAGACTTTTAATTGAAGACTTCCCTTCAAGACTCTATAATAGGGCAGGCAGGTTTATAGGAAGAGTATTTGTCAAAGGCTATGTCATATACAGTGGTCTTGTCCTTTGAGAAATTTATTAGACCCCAAGCTTCCTGAAGCATGTAAACAAATTTTCAGTTTTTTGAGGGAATTTTGTCTATCCCTTTGATTCTGAATTTTTGGTTACATCGAATTTGCTAGAATTTCATTGTCTAGAGATTTAGAATTAGATAATGCTATTAGTAATAAAAGATAAATAAGACATATATGTGTTTCACGTGTTTTTTTTTATATTACCACTTTTGCAGATAGGTGTTGCTCTCACCGCAGTTATTAACTTAATCCAGTATAAGCACTTTAAAAACTATTTATATTTAGGCCTATTTGTTGAAACTGCATTCTTCAACAAAATTAAAAAAGAAAGAGTCCATCCAATGACAGTAAAGATTACAAGACACTTCAATCATTTTTAGTATTGAAATCACCTATTCTTAATAGTTAAGTAGGTTTTAGCAGCTCTTATAGATAGATAAATATCTATTTAATTTTTATAAAAAACAAACAAGGTGAACAGGAGGTTTTCCCAACTAGCAGGTTTTTTATTCCTGATTTATGGTTTGTGGGAGGACCACAAATTGAAGATCAATATCAAGACTTTCAATATTTTTCCCCCTCAAGTATGGCCACTTTGACCACTAGTAGTATCCATCCATCTTACTTCTAGTAAAAGTAATTGTTTAAAACTATTGACAGATTGGAAGATTCCCTAAAAACTTAGCCTGACTTTGGAATAGTTGCACATTTTTAAATAAGTATCTTATGCTTGAAGCTGGTATTATCTTTAGGATTGAATCATCAACTCTCTTATAGGTTTTAAGGTACCCTTCTGACTATAGGTCTCATCTGATCTTTAAATAAGTAGTCCCTTTGGCAGACTTCCAAATGAGATATTATCAATAAAACTGGCCTCTGAAACCATTCCCCTTCTATCTGAAAAGAAGAAGATGTAGAAGAAATCCTCCCTCTCCCTTTTAAAGATAACGATATATAGTACTCTGATGGATAATCTGTAGGTGTTGACTTTTCCTTGGTATTAGCCCCAGTGGATAGTCAGTAGTAGAGAAAATTTTATATTTTCGTCTGACAGGGCTCAGTTGTTTTTTTTTATATTCTTGTACTAGTTTAAAAGTAATTTTAGATTAGTTTCTCCAGGTTTGGGATAGCAACATACACTTTGGTAAACTGTTAGGTTTTAGAAAATTCAATAGTACTTTTAATAGTTGTAATAATTTCAATATATTTTAAAATTTATTCTATTATTACTAATAAACATAGCTAAGCTGACAAAAAAAAAAAAATTGATAAATTTTTCTAGATATAGAATATATGTAATTAAATATTTTATCAGTTGATTATTTACTTTATTAGTATTTTGTAAGATCAATAAAATACTTTTATACTTGTTATAGAATTCTGAATCACTTATTAATATACCTAAACTATTTTTTATAAAGTTATTAAGTAATATCAACAATAGATTCAAAGCATTTTTAAATTTATATATAATTGTTTATATAATTACTACATCATTTTTTATAGTTACCTAATAATTGATAAGTTTATTACTTATACTTCAACTATTTTTTAACTTTTTTTCATTGAGATAACTACTTCTAGATTGTTCAAGGTAATAATATAGTTATTATCAAGAATAATAATCTTTTATTTTTATTTTTTGTGAGATTTTTTAGGTTTTTTAATCCCTATAGTTTTATATTTATGAATATTATTTTAATATTTTTTTTATTTAATATTGTTGATGAAGCTTTTACTATAAACAGTATATATATATACTTTTACAAGTAGGAATTGTTTTGATAAAGATTGTTTATTTGCTAGTTTACTTGATTTCTTTTTCTTTTGAAATCTTTTTTTTAGGATATTTTTTTCTTTTCTTTTTAAATGAACCTGAATTAAGTTAAAGAGAAAACACTTGTTATTTGGAATTACTAAGATAGATAGAAGAGATCCTTTCAATCTATTTAAAAAAGAGTTTTTTGATCTGAAACAACTATTCAGTTGAACTAAAATATTTGAATACAGTATTATAGAAAAAGTTAATTTTTATTGTAATATTAATCATATTATTGTATTGGTTTGAAATAAAAACTTTTATTTTTTATGATTTTGAAAAAAAATTTTATAAAGAAATTATTTTATCCAAAAATAGTCAATAGCTTTTTTTTTTTGATAATATATATAGTATACTATATATTATATTGTTTAAATAAATATACTTATATATTTTATTGATTAATTGATTTTTAATATAGTTTAATTATAATCTATTTGTAAAAAAAAAGGGATGATAATTAATATATTTTTATAAATAAAATTTATTTAATTAAAAAATATTTTACAAATTATATTATCATGAAAACCTATTAGTTTATGATCAATTACCTTTAATAAAAATTGTATTATTCAAAATTTTGAATCAAGTCAAGATAGAAAACCATAAAAATAAGATCTAAAAAAATTCAAATAATTGATAAAGGAAAAGAAATGCTTCTTTACTACAAAAAATCTAGATAATAATCCATTTTAAATATTGTTATAATTTTTAAGTACATTATATTTGTTATTTAAAATTTTTTTCTCTATTGATAATAAAGGTATTACTCAACTTTTTTTACAAGCTTCTAATAAAAAAGATTGTGAATAAGTAAAAAAGAATAATCGTGATTTTTAAGAAAATAATATTAAGAATTTGTTAATAAAAAGTCATAAAAATTTTTTTGAAACCATTTTTTTTTTTATATGAAAGTATGAATTTTTTAAATAGCAACTTATTTAATTATAAAGAATAAATTATAGATATATTGTAACAAAATAAAAATAAAAAGTTTTAAATCAATAATCAGTATATAATACTGTACATTGAATATTAACAATCTCCTAAAATTTTTTAATAATATTCCAGTGCTAGAAAATACACCTAAATGATAAACATATTATATTTATTAAAATGGTACAATAATAAACACGCGCGTCATTTCTCATTGGATTATTTTTTTTTTAATAAAAAATTAATTTATTGAACTAATTTTACATATAATACATCTCTTTTAATAATTACTTTAGAGAACTACAAATTAATTATTAACCGCAGCCTCTGACTTACACGTCCGCGTTTTGCGTCTTAATTTTGCCAAGTCCACTAATAAATAACATACAGTAAATCCCCAAAATACAATATACGTACTGCATGATAAAAATTAATGTCTTTTCCAAAGAATAATTTGTGACAAACATATTGATACCCTATATATTTTAACCTCATTAAATTCTAAATATGAAATAAATAATTGTGGCCGAGGTGAGTATCAACCATTTAGTGAAGTGACTTCCTTCGCTACTTAAGCTATTGCCTTCACTATTCTTATACGAAGACGGGTATGAAGGATCAGAGCATTCGTAATTAGGTATGCAATTCGAGCCATAAGGACAACATCCCCCTTCACTATCTTGACACGCATAATCTCCGGCTGGGCAGGTGTAGACGATGGCAGAGGAATTATCTGCTAAAAAAGATGATCCTAAGGGTGTTCTTTTAATTGGGCTATCATTACGTTTTAGAGGCAGCACGGCAAAAGCCTGATGGAAAGCAATAACGATAATAATAAGAATCGGAATGAAGCTTTTCATGATTTTTCTTATTTTCTCGAAGTAAAAAAGAAATCCTTATATAATAAATTTACCGGAGAGTTGAATGTTCCTCCGATGTCCATCCCTGAACACATATACATATGTTGTTACCACGCATCACCGTGAACTATTAATGAGGAAATATTATACTTAATTTGGAAAATTGACGCTGTACAGGTACGTGCGCGTTTTTCTCATTGCCAGCTCTTTGTAAATAATGTTGCGTGTAATTAGGAAATAAAATAAAGAACAAGGCGTTCATTGAATAAAAAAAAAAAAAACAATGATATATCATGAACAAAATTCAAGCATTTGCATAGTAATACCAATCATTTGTTATCGTTGTTTATATTATATTATTTTTTTATTTATTTCGAAAATAATTATGGCGAAGGATTTTGTACTTGAGAACAAGAAACCAGTGTAATTGTGTACGTAAATATTTTGAAAAATGTACATAGTACTTTTCTTATTATTTGTAATGCATGTACGCCTAAATTTTCTAGAAATTAAAATCGGAAGCTTACATAATTCGGTGCAATTTAAAAGTTGTCACAATCAGGAAAATAGAGAAGAATTCATTAGAATCAGGTTCGGAACAAGTTCACCCAAATACAGAAATTTGATCAATTGCATCCATTACGGTAGGACTATAAAAAATAAATTTATTTTGACTTTTATCTTAATCAATACCTAAACAATATTATGCGTATTATGTGTTTTATCCCTTTTTTTGAAACAGTCATTAATGTGTACTTTTCGATACTACTTCGAAATTTAGATTCATGTAACCATTCTAGTTTTGCGAATCATAAGATTTTAAGTTACGTATACTGTACTTACATTCCTTTGAGAGTTTACGTTAGTGATACAGTGGTCTTTTGGCAACGTCATTTTTTTAGTAGTGGATACGGTAATATTATATAAATGACATCCGAAATTAGATCTCTGTATTCTGACGTGATTCAGTTTTTATCTTTGGTTGTTCTTCCTAAAAAAGAAAACTTATGTGTAGAAAGGTTAGAAGTCTTTAGATACTTACCTATTCCTGTACTGTAAATAGTTGGTTCTATAGTGTTTCTTGTAAGTGGATGGTCTTTGATGTTG